TTGCTGAGGTCGCTGGGGGTCGCTGGGGGTCGCTGGGGGTCGCTGAGGTCGCTGGGGGTCGCTGGGGTCGCTGGGGGTCGCTGGGGGTCGCTGAGGTCGCTGGGGGTCGCTGTGGGTCACTGGGGGTGGCTGGGGTCGCTGGGTTCGCTGTTTCTCCCAACACTGGCGCGGTTTTCTCTGCTGTGACCAGGGAGGATGGGGTAAAGGGCTTGCATGCCAACACAGCGTCCCCTCCTGTCCTTGTCACCCCAGATCTCAGCAGAAACAGAGGCAAGCCAGTGACGGGAGATCAGGGAGTGGGAGGGTGGGGGGCTCTGGGGTCGGAGGTCATGGCTGCCCCGAGGAGGGCTGAGACCTTGCTGAGACCTCACAGCCGGGGCCCTGACTCCTGGAGTCCACTCTGTTGAGCCACAGGACACAGTTCTAGGCATCCTGGGGTGGTGCCCTAGAGGCTCGGCTCCTCCTCCTCCCTCTGCTGGGAGCTGGTGGATGCCGCCAAGTCCAGAAACATCTCTTGAACATTGCTCAGCCCGTCTGCACGCAGCTTTGCCCTGGGTCTGACAACTTCCCTCTGCGTTCCCAGGATCTCCCCCTGGGGGCTGTGCTGGAGGACTGGGGGTGTGGCTTCTTTACCCTCCCTCAGTCGCACAACCTCTGAGTCTGCCGCCTCCAGGGCGTCTGCTAAAAAAACGATCGCTTCTGTTGTAATTGAATGTGGAAGTGCGTTCCATCCAGGCAGTGCTGTTATTATCTGGTGTTGAATTTCAAGTAAAATAAAAATTAAAATTCCCAGTGCTGGTTCATCTGCGCTCATGAATCTCATCCCTGCCTGCCACGCGGTGCGCTGGGCGTTCACAGAATGGTCGTGCCAATGGCATCAGAGAGGTAATTATATTTATAATTGGACACATAAATCAGCTTCTTTTTTTGTGGGGCTCGATCTCAATGTGGTGTGGTGCATGAGCTGTGTACATGTGTGTGTACAAGGATATGCATGCAGGCCTGTGCTCATATATGTAGGCATGTGTGCACGTGCACACGTGTGCATGTGTGGGTTGCACGAGTGTGTGTGCACAGATGTGCATGTGAGTGTGCACGTGTGCATGTGTGTTGCATGAGCATGTGTGCACGGATGTGCGTGTGAGTGTGCACGTGTGCATATGTGTTCCATGAGCATGTGTGCATGGATGTACGTGTGAGTGTGCACGTGTGCACCTGTTCAGTGGATATTTACTAGCAAACTCCCCTCTAATAGCTCCTTGCCGTATTCCTGGGCAGACCAGGGTGAACAAACAGGATGGCCTGACTTTGTTTTTCTTGGCCGCAGATGGTGGAACCTAAGTGTGCTGGGCATCCAGGGAAAGTGGACGCCACCCCCCAGGGCCTGCCACCAGGAGCTTGTGCAGATTCTGGCGTTTGGGATGGACAGAGTGCCTGGTAGCAGTGCTGGCTGGCGGGGTTGACCCTGGGTGCCCAGGAAGGCACCTGCCCTCATGGCACATCTACAGGCTTGCCTGGTTCCCTTCCACAGGGCGATTCCCTCCTGCTCTCATACCTGTGAGGCTGGGTCCAGCTGAGCGGAGCAGCAGTTGCTTGAGAAGGACCGACACTGTGGTTGCCTAGGCAACCCCTCCCTGGCTAACCAAGGCCGGTTTTGTTCAGACTCTGAGCAGCAGCCATGTGCTCAGGGAAGGCAGCCCCTCCCCAGCCCCTGTGTGACACCCCACTGGCCTCAGCCCACGGTGGAATTCAGTCAGCCTCGCCATGGTTGGAGAGACCCGAACCAGCCAGGCCACCCTGACGGCGGGACCCAGGGAGGGTCTGAGGGGCTGTGGGGAAGTTGTCCTCACTCTCACAAAGGGACATGAGGAAGGGCTGGGTCCTGGGGCTCTGGGATGGTGACACAAGAGGGGGCTGTGGGGTGGGCAGCTGCCGTGCAGTCCCTATGAGGGATGAGCTGCCTCTTATCCTTTCAGTCACTTTTCAGGTGGGTTTTCTGTTACAGCTGAGAGTGTCCGGATGGGTGCAGGGACCGAGTATTCATCGGTGATTTTTACACTCAGGATCCAGAGCTGAGGCTTCTTATGTACGTGGCGCGTGGCTCCGTGGCCCCGGGCCAGAAACCCAGAGCTGAGCCTTCTTATCTACGTGGCGCATGGTCCTGTGGCCCCTGGGCCAGAAACCCAGAGCTGAGGCTTCTTATGTACGTGGCATGTGGCTGTGTGGCCCCTGGGCCAGAGACCCAGAGCTGAGGCTTCTTAGGTACGTGGCACGTGGCACCATGGCAACTGGGCCAGAAACTGAGAGCTGAGGCTTCTTATGTACATGGTGTGTGGCTGCGTGGCACCTGGGCCAGAAACCCAGAGCTGAGGCTTCTTATCTACAGGGAGCATGGCCGTGTGGTGCCTGGGCCAGCTTTTCTGTCAAGGGACTGTGGGCCTCAGCAAACGAAGCCAGAGCTCTCCTTCCTGCCTCTCCAGGAGTGGCTGGCACAGGACCCATATCTCAGCTTTTGCAGGCAACGCTTTGGGCACCCACAGAGAATATGACCAACATGGCGGAATCCCCGGCACCGCTGGAGGCTTTCTGGGCCTTCCACAGACTCACTTGCAAACTCTTCCCTCAGTCCTAACGGTTCCTGGCATCAGGCTTTGGCTCTGCCACGGCCTGAGAGTGACCCTGGACACCGCCCTTGTCCCCGCCTGAGAGTGACCCTGGACACTGCCCTTGTCCCCACCTGTGAGTGACACTGTTTGCCGCCTTGTCCCCGCCTGTGAGTGACCCTGGACGCTGCCTCCATCCCCCACATGTGAGTGACCCTGGACGCCACCCCTGTCCCCGCCTGTGAGTGACCCTGGACGCCGTCCCCATCCCCGCCTGTGAGTGACCCTGGACGCCATCCCCGTCCCCGCCTGTGAGTGACCCTGGACGCCATCCCCGTCCCCGCCTGTGAGTGACCCTGGACACCATCCCCGTCCCCGCCTGTGAGTGACCCTGGACGCCGCCCCCGTCCCCCGCCTGTGAGTGACCCTGGACACCGTCCCCATCCCCGCCTGTGAGTGACCCTGGACGCCGTCCCCGTCCCCGCCTGTGAGTGACCCTGGACGCCGTCCCTGTCCCCGCCTGTGAGTGACCCTGGACGCCGTCCCCGTCCCCCGCCTGTGAGTGACCCTGGACGCCGTCCCCGTCCCCCGCCTGTGAGTGACCCTGGACGCCGTCCCCGTCCCCGCCTGTGAGTGACCCTGGACGCCGTCCCCGTCCCCCGCCTGTGAGTGACCCTGGACGCCGTCCCCGTCCCCGCCTGTGAGTGACCCTGGACGCCGCCCCCGTCCCCCGCCTGTGAGTGACCCTGGACGCCGCCCCCGGAGTGACCCTGGACGCCGCCCCCGTCCCCCGCCTGTGAGTGACCCTGGACGCCGCCCCTGTCCCCCGCCTGTGAGTGACCCTGGACGCCGTCCCCGTCCCCCGCCTGTGAGTGACCCTGGACGCCGCCCCTGTCCCCCGCCTGCTGCGGAGGAAGGCAGGAGGGCCTCGCCCTTGCCACGAGTAACTTCTGAGCCTGGTTCCTCGCTGGCCGCTGTTTTTGGAAATCCTCTTTGCAGAACTGGCCTCAGAGGCTCGAGGTCAAAGTACCCCATGAGCTGCTTTGGGAAAGAGATTTCGTCTGACAACAAGGGAGATGCTGAGCCAGGAACCTGTGATGTCACTGGGCTTCTGGGCCAGCAGGAGGCTGAGAAGCACAATACAAAGGTTCCCTTTTGTTTAAATTAAGCAAATTAAGAGGAAGTGGCCCAAATTCCGTCTGTGGGCACTGTTTGCACAGACATGGTGCCCACAGAAGCTGCTCACCCTGCCCCATCACCTGAGGCAAGACAAGCCTGGTGGTTCTGGGCGCCGCTCTGAGACGTGGGACCCTCTCCCACTCTGTGGACCTCCTGACCACTGAATGCCTCTTGGATGAGCAGAGGTGGTGGCCTCGGGCTGAGCTGGGCAGTTTCCAGGCCAGACTGGAACGAGCAGCTCCCTCCTCTCCATCCTGGCCAAAGCCTGTCCCTATAGCGGCTCGGGTATGGCTGGAGTCTGAGTCATTGGTCCTTTGTCACTGAGCTGGCTGCTGGCCAGGAACTGGGACACCGAGGCCACGGCGTGGGAAAGGGGGATCTGCCCACGTAATGCTGCACGTGGACCTGTGGGGGCTGGTCCCCAAAGCAGCACCCATCATTTGGGATTATGGTCAACTGCGACTGACAGAAGCCCGGCTTTGGAGATTTAAACCAACGGGGGCAGAGAGGCAGTGTCAGGAAGAAGTAACTCCTGAGGACGTCAGTGGGAACTCGGGCTCACTCCCACCCCACCGTCTGCGGTGAGGACGTCAGTGGGAACGCGGGCTCACTCCCACCCCACCGTCTGTGGTGAGGACGTCAGTGGGAACGCGGGCTCACTCCCACCCCACCGTCTGTGGTGAGGACGTTAATGCGAACTCGGGCTCACTGCTACCCCACCGTCTGCGGTGAGGACGTCTCTAGATCTCATGGCCCCAAAGAGGCTGCCACCCCTCAAGCATCACACCCACATTCCAACAGGGAGAGGGAACAGGGGCAACGGCTAAGTCAGAAAGCCTGAGCCTCTCCCAGAAATCCCTGGGGACTTGACACAAGGTCACATGTCACCACAAAGGCCTCTGGGGAGTGTGGTTTCTAAAGCTGTCCTGCTAAACCCCACACGAAATCAGGTTTGCTAGGAAGCAAAGGGGAGGGTGGGCCCAGTGGATGGCTGACGGCTGCTACCATACCCCGAGGAGAAAACAGAGCAGAGGGGCACGGGCCAAGAGGTCAAGGGACCAAGAGGTGAAGAGGTCAAGGGACCAAGGGGGGCAAGGGGCCAAGAGGTCAAGAGGTCAAGGGACCAAGGGGTCCAGCCCTCCATCGCAAGGGCCAGGCAGGCAGGGCACGAGACACGCCTGAGTGGAGAAGGCGGCTGCGCACAAGTGAAAATGGACATTTTGAGTTCATTTAAAAAGTTATGTCACATGTTTGTTTTTAGAGCGGTTTAGGCTTATGGGAAATCGAGCAGAAAGTACAGAGCCCCTCCCCTGCCACCAATGTCCCCTGTAATTAACATGTTATGCTGGCGAGGTGCACCTGTTACCACCGACGGGCCGACATCACACGCGGTCAGTTACAAAATTCCACACTCGCGTCGGGCCCCCTGTGTTGCACATCCTGTGGGTTTTGACAAATGCATAATGAGCCAGCATTGGACACCACGTGTGACTGGTCCCAGTCTGAACTCTCGGAGGAGTGGGGTTCACATGGGGTGGAGGTGGCCGACGTGGCAGTGCCCCAGGTGCTGGGAAGGCCAAGTGCCCCGCTTTTCCCCGGCCCTGGCACACCTGAACAGAGGCGTCATAGCTGCTCTCTTCCTGCGGAGGCAGGGATGGAGACTATTTCAGAGGCAGCTTTCTCCTTTTCTACGGCTCTGACACAGCTATTCATTCTTCACAGCAGGCAGGTTTGCTGAGTGAACGTCGGCCCGATGACAGCGTCCTCCGCGTTTTGTCTGTAATTATTACACTTAGTCCAGGTGTAATTACCCACAATTTGAGGAGGAAAGCGGTCGTGTATTTACCTTGTAATTTGCGGTCGCATGTTAGACTGATGTCGGCCTCTTCCTGCAGAAAGCTCTGGAACCCTTGAAGAATCTTCAGAGCACAGACAGCACAGCGAGGCGTGAGTGTGCGGCCGCTGGTGCGGACAGCGTTCAGAGCACAGACAGCACAGCGAGGCGTGAGCGTGCGGCCGTTGGTGCGGGCAGCAGAGTGTCCTGGCTGCCTGGGTGGGTCCATTGCACAAGCTGCTCTCCTGGGCTGTGTCCTGGGGACAGCTCAGGTCTGGACTTTGGCCCAACTCATGCAGTCCAGCCCGGACCTGTTCCCACCTGGCCAAGCTCCCTGCTGGCTCCCCTCCCCTGGGCTGCCTTCACCTACACGCCAAGTGACCAGATGCCCGCTGTACAGAAGGTCGCGTCACAGTGGGGGTACCCAGCTCTCCCCGTGCGGCGGAGGGAAGCCTCTGTAGCCGTGGGCTTGCACACGTGAGGTGTGAGCGCCCTAAGCCCAGGCGAGGGTCCAGCAGGGCTGCCTCGGGCAGCACGACCTTCAGAGCAGCTTTGAGAAGGAGGGGTGCATGTGTAGTTGGGACAGGGAGGGAGGGTGGGGAGGGTCATGCTGGGAGCATCTCCAGCGCTTCCTCAGAATCCTGGCCGCTCAGGGCATCACAGAGGCTGACATCCCAAGAAACGTCACGGAGGTGCCGTGGAAGGAGGGAGCATCGGGCTGGGCCCTGCGTGGCCACTGTGGCGTTCCTGCTGTGGCCTCCCTGCCGCCCCCCAGCCCTGGCCCAGCCTGACCCCCAGGGCTGCGCAGCCCCTTCCAGCACATCCCCTGCACCTGCTCTGCCCCTTTTCCTCCTGAGGCCAGTGTGTTGGAGGCCACAGCACAGCGTGTTCCCTGCGTCAGCTCCCGCAGGAGCCCCTTTCTGTGGAGGCCATGAGGACGACGACGGACTGCCATTCACACAGACGTATTTTCTCACCGTTCTGGAGGCGGCAAAGCCACGGCCAAGGTGTCGCTGGTTCCTCAGAGGCTGTCAGGGGTTGGGGGAGGTCTGCCCCAGGCCTCCCTCCTGGGCCGTCTCCATCTCCCTGAACCCGCCTCTACGTCCAAATCCTCCCTTTCCGTAAGCTCTGGAGGGGTGGGGCCAGGCCCTCCTGTGTGTCTGGCCCTGGGAAGGGGGGTGGCTCCTGCCTGCGGCCCATGAGGACGTCCCAGGGAGGCCCCGCGGGCCCCTCTGCATCCCAGCCCTTCCCGTCTTTGTCCTTCAGACCACACGGGACACAGGCGGTCGGGAGATGGAGGCGGCGGTGTGTCTCCTTCACGCAGTGGGCTCCTTGGCTGAGCTGTGTGGTAGCCGTTAATCCGGCCGCAGCATCCTAGTAGCTTAATTATGGTCTTCATTATGAGGGAAGATCAATAGCCAGAATGATGAAAGCTCAAAGATAATGGAAACAATTAAAGTGCTTTGTCTTAGGTGACACTAAAGCTGTCTGGTTTGAGGAATCCTCCTCCAGCCCGGCCTTCCAGCTCCTCCAAGGGTCCACTTGGGTTAAATGGAAAACAGCTGTCCACCCAGCCCAGCGCAGGCTGTGGATGGAGCTCCGGGCAGCACGCTACCCTCTACCCCACGTGCCTCCAATGTGGGTGCAGATCCTGGTGCTGGACCGGTTTCTGGGTGAGCTGGGGAGACGCTTCTGCGTTACCCATGTCCGCCGGGGACCCGACCACCCTTCTCCTCTGGGGACACTGTGGTTGATGTACACTTCAGTCCCCAGGGGCTTTCCAGTCTAGATGGAAAGACGGACGCGCATCAGATCATCACACCATGGCATTTCTGCACGCTCGGGTGAGTGTGAAAGAAGGAACACGGTGGCCAAGAGAAAGCCAGGCCATCCTGACCCATCCTGGGAGGGGCTGAGGTTGGGAAGATGAAGGCAGTGACCCCGATGGAGGGGACAGTGGACCCCGAGGTGGGAGAGGGCCTGGCCCATCCGAGGAACCCGGAGAGGACCAGAGGTTAGAACGCGGTGAGACGGAGGGAGAAGGAGGCCGTGAGCCGCAGACGTGGCAGGGGCTTCATTCCCAAAGCCACAGAGCCCACTAGGACTGTTGAGGGGTCCCTCGAGGACAGAAAGGGCTTCTTAGGGCGAGGGTGGCTGCATGTGGAGCTGCGCAGGGCCCACGTCCACCCACGACGGTGAAGCCTGAGCACACTGGGCCAAGGATGAGCCGCTGTCCACGGGACTCACAGAGGTGGCTGTGGAGGCCACAGGACTGAAGCGGTTCTGCTTCTGGGGCGAGGACGGAGACCCTGAGGGAACACAGTGGGTTTCGGTGCCCGACGGCCGCACCTGGGCCGACCACCTGCCTCCTGCGGCTCCTGCTATAGACGAAGCACCCGGCTCACTCTGGTGACACCGAACCTGGCAGCTTCCCCTACACATTGCCACGGACAGCAGGGCCCTGCGAGAGGCAGGCAGTGCAGGACGGAGCTCCCAGAGAGGGGGTCACGGGTGCAGCTGGGTTCAGTCCAGAGCCCAGAGGCTTTGGCTGCTGTGAGCGTGGAGGGGTATGGATGCTAAGATGACAATTTCTCCAGCTTCATTTCTCAGGCCAGAAACTTGCCCGAGAGCCCCCTCGCTGAGTCCACCCCACCCTGCGCAGCCTCCACTGTGAAATGTGTCCTCTCCCCTCACTGTCGCTGCTCTGAGGGACCACGTGAGTTCCTGACCACGGGCCCTGACCTAACAGGGCACCAACCCAAGTGAGGCCAGTCAGTGCCCTCTGGGGCCTCTTCCCTTGGAATCAGAGAGACGATTTGGTTAAAATACAGATTCCCAGGCAGCCGTCGTCTCTGTGGCCACGCAGCGGCTCTGCTCCATATGGCTCCAGCCCTGCCGCCTGCACCCCGCTCTCCTGACTGCCCGTGGACGCGTCTGGATGGCTCCCCTGGGCAGCTCCAGCCAGAACCCACTCCTCAGGTCCAATGGCCAGGTGGTCACACAGCCACCCCTCGCTGCACAGGAGGGTGGAAACGCCATCCTCATTCTGGGAGCCCCGTGCCTGGGCCCCATCGCTGCCAGGAAGGTAAAGAGCGGGTGGGTGCGTGTGTGAGGACGGCCCTCAGACGGTGCCACAGCAGCCCCTCACCGAGCTCAGGGCAGGGGGCTTCCTGCAGCCGCGATTCCTGCAGCAGGGCACGGAGGCGGCAGGGCGTGGATGGGGCTGGCAGAGGGAGAGAGCAGCCAGGTGGGACTCGACCTTCCAGCGTCCACCACCATCTCCCCAGAGTTAGATCTTGGGGGTTTACACGCGCCTCCTATTAGGCAGGTTCAGGTGGGTTCCCACCACTCACCATCAGCCCCGATGGCGCCTGGGGCCAGAGGGAGCCGTGACCGTTGCCACGTCCTCTGCTTGCGCTGAAGGCCCCCGACTCCCCCGTTCATCTGGTTCCCGTGGGCTCCTGCGTAGCCTTTCTTCTGCACGAGAGACTATTCTTTCCCACACTCGCCCCAGCTCACCTGCCTCAAGAATTCCAGGAGGTCTGGGCTACCCAGATGCACGGGGCAGGGACCCAAGTCCGACGGCCGTGGGGTTCCTGTGGACTCTGCTGGCCTGGGCCTGGCTCGTGCCACGTGGGGTTCCTGTGGACTCTGCTGGCCTGGGCCTGGCTCGTGCCACGTGGGGTTCCTGTGGACTCTGCTGGCCTGGGCCTGGCTCGTGCCACGTGGGGTTCCTGTGGACTCTGCTGGCCTGGGCCTGGCTCGTGCCACGTGGGGTTCCTGTGGACTCTGCTGGCCTGGGCCTGGCTCGTGCCACGTGGGGTTCCTGTGGACTCTGCTGGCCTGGGCCTGGCTCGTGCCACGTGGGGTTCCTGTGGACTCTGCTGGCCTGGGCCTGGCTCGTGCCACGTGGGGTTCCTGTGGACTCTGCTGGCCTGGGCCTGGCTCGTGCCACGTGGGGTTCCTGTGGACTCTGCTGGCCTGGGCCTGGCTCGTGCCACGTGGGGTTCCTGTGGACTCTGCTGGCCTGGGCCTGGCTCGTGCCACGTGGAAGGTTCTGCACCTGCTACCTGCCCTGCACCCACCTGGCATCCCCAGGCCTACACCTGCCGTAGGTGCCCACCTCGTAGAGCACTTTCTGCTCCCTCTGAGTGTCTCGGCTTTTTGCATTCATGGGAAGAGGGTTTTTTTTCTCTCTCTGGTTTGTGTTTTGGAAAGGCTCTTTTTCTCTCTCTGGTTTGTGTTTTGCAAAGGCCTGAAAGCAAGCTGTTCTGTGTCGCTGGAACATATGAAAGGAAGTGCGATTCTCCACACACAGTTGCTCCTGGGCGCAGACCCTGGGAATGCAAAGTTTCAGGAAGTAAACACCAACAGACCCGAGTCAGAAGCGCCAGATGGTGGGGCTGGGACGGCGGAGCCAGCTCCTTGGAGGCGGGCACGTCCCCCGCCGAGCTGCGTGAGTCACTCTCTGCAGGGCCAGGAAGCCGCTGCCTCCCTCCTCCGACTTCAGGTGCCTCCCAGGAGCCCAGAAGGAGAAAGGATGATGGCAGAGCTCACGTCAAGCTGCCAGCATCCCTTCTTCTGCCCAGGGTGTGAAACCGGCACTCAGCCGGGCAGCATCTTGGGGACTGCCTGGGGCAGGGAGGTCACCCCTGCAGAGAGGAGGTTGGGCCAAGACTGTCCTGCTGGGGCTGGGCAGGGGTCTTGGGTGGAATCGCACCAGGGCCGGGCCACGCGTGGGTGAAGGAGGGAGCTGCCCGGCTTGGGGACTGCAGAACAGATCGTGCTCCCAAATCTGCTCCCAAAGGGGACGTTCTGCATGTGGGGCCACCGCCCAGAGTGCAGCCCGGTCCCCGTGTCTGTCAAAGCAGCCACGCCTGTCTCAGAACCTCAGCTGGGTTGGAGCAGGCCCTGGTGGGTTCAGGGGACTTGCAGCCCTGAGCAGTGGGGGCTCCAGAGTGTCTGTGGCAGTGGGGGCAGGCGGCGGCACCGGCTTCCGTCTGCTTTTGAATACTCAGGAGGAGAGGGGACGGTCTGACAATATCTGTCCCTGGTGAGGATACGTTAAACTTCAGTCGTTCGTCAGAGACGACAGAACCAGCTGTGCTTCCTGAAGCAACATTTCACGTTTACGTAGGACTGAGGAAGCTGACGTAAGACGGACCGAGGGCTGCTGCCTCTGTGGTTTTCCCACTGGCCGCCGCTTCGATGGGTGGGGACCGGCGGGCCCGGGGTGGGAGGGTCTGGAGGCCGCAGCAGCACCAGTGAGACCAGACCTCAGGAGTCTCTGGGCCCAGGCCCAGCCCCAAACTGCACGGGAGGCTGGAGCCTGATCACGTCTAAGTCACT